GGGATCGAACTCGGGTCCTTGCGCTTGCGCAGCAGGTGGCGAAACCACTGAGCTAAATCCCCGGCCCTCCGTACCTCTTTTCGATGTGAAAATTTTGCTTCCAGAATTTTGTGAATTGTCTGCCTTAGCCATGTGGTGTTCACTTGCACATGTAATTCCTATTGAAGATTTGTGGGTAAAGGCAGCAGTTGATTATTTTAAAAAATAGTTTTGAACAAAGAAATTTTGCTTTAAATTATAAGAAGAAAAGACAAGTATACTGTCAATATTCAGAATATTGAAACCTCAGAAAATATTGATGTTGTGTCTCTTATGTTAGAAGCTGGATATACAGAATCTTGGGAAGTAGAGTCAGAACATTTTCCAAAGTATGTTAAGTGAATATTCAGTGTTAAATTTAAAGTCTAAAAGCAAAGTCAGTATTAAGAATGTCACATCTGCCCTTCTTGAAAGACCTAAATCTAGAGAATACCTTTCAGATAAGGTGGAAGAAAATAACTTATCTTTGTCCAAATCCCCAGCTGTTAATTTCTTAGATTTAAAAACTCCTTTCATTTTGTCTTTGGGATATGATTCATCAAGGCCTTATGAAGTACATACGTTTAAAGCAGGAACAGTTCGTGAAGTTAAATATTCTCATTACTATGGCCCAGGAGACTTTTCATGCCAGCTCCAATGTAAGTTAGAAGACCTAAAATTACTGATGGAAGAAATTCAGAATTATTATAGCATTCACTCTGATCCTTATCTGATGGGGCAGATTGCTTGTATTGCTAAATATTCCAAAGATGGGAAGTGGTATAGAGCTGGTGTTTTGACTCAAGTATCAAACAAAGAAGTTGATATAATATTTGTGGATTATAGTCACCAAGAACGAGTTTTAATTAAAGATCTTTGTGCTGTTAACCCACATTTTCTTTTTTTAGAAGGCCAAGCCTTCAGATGTTGTCTTAACCATTTAGTTGAATCTGTTAGTTGTAAATTATTCTGTTGTACAAGTAAAGCATCCAGAGACTTTGGACATTTTATTTCTTCATCTAGAGGGTTACTGGCTTGCATAATATATGCCCTAGTTCGTATACAGGGAAACTGTGTATATAATCGAATGGATTTACAATCTTCATTTACTAGTGCAAAAGAATTTCTTACTAGTCATGGGTCTGCACAGTATAGCACATTATTCATATCCACTGTCATCTTCAATTAGTTTGTACAGTTACTATATATGTATATAAATATATATAAATATACAAATATATAAATATATATAATATATATAAATATAAATATATATATATATATATTTTGTACTGGGGATCGAATTCGGGTCCTTGCGCTTGTGCCACAGGTGGCGAAACCACTGAGCTAAATCCCCGGCCCTGCACAGTTACTATTATTCTTCCTTTAATATAAAAATTGGAAGTGAAGAAGTAGTATATATATCTCACATTATGTAGACACCAAAAGTTTTATTGCCAGTTTAGTAGAAATAATAAAAATCTAGAGATGCTAGAAACAAAAATCATAGAGATGATTAGCCTAAAAAATTGCCCAAAGTATGATTCTAGTCAAATGAGATTGTCTATATCTAAGAATGTAGAGAATGGTCTCTCGTACAGAGTATTAGCAAAACCAACAGATTCATCAACTGAATTTCTAGTATATTTTGTGGACTTTGGAAATAAACAATTAGTGAAAGAAAATATGTTGATGGCTATTTCAGATCAGTTTGCAGAGTTGCTGTTTACACCTATGCAAGCTGTTAAGTGTTTTCTGTCAGATCTTAAGAGATATAGAGACTCCAGAGGAAATCAATAACTGGTTTGAAAACAAGTTTTTCAGAAAATCGTTAAAGGCAGTGATATGTCCAGGGGGTCAGATGGCCAGCTGGGTATAGAGCTATGTGATGGGTGTCAACATGTAAATCAGAAAATTAAAACGTTGCTTCATGCTTATGGAAAAAAACATTTTGACCAAGGACAGTATTTGGAAAAGAGTCATAAATTAAATAAGAATAAGAGACTTGGTGCTTCTCAGAAAGGCAAAATAGAATACAATTACCACCATAATGCGATAAGTAAAAGTAGTCTAGTAACATATTCTGAATACAAAATAGATCAGTTGATGCATCATAGAAGTATATATGCTAGGCTTTTGCAACCACCAGTTTGTTATAAAATTGAACCAGTGTCCAAAAACAAAGTGAAGTCGTTGAATGATGGACTTAAAAATAAAAATATAAAAATTGTCCATGGATCTGTACATATTCTTAATGAAAGAGACTTGGGCCAAAAATCAGTAAAGGTTGTATCACAGACATTTATCAGAGAGTTAAATCAAGCAGTCTCACAAAATCCACACAATATGATTAGACCACAGATCAAAGATCTTCCGGAACCCAAAATTTACTTGAATGTCCAAGTAAAAGGATATGTATCCAACATCAGCAATCCAGCCAGTTTTCATATTCAGCTTGCTGAGATTGAAAAGTTTATCATCAGACCTGCAGATGCTCTAAATAGAAGAGCAAGTAGAGTGAAAGAATGAAGCTCAGTTAAACTTTTGGTGGGAGATCGTGTAGTTGCAGAGTACTCTGTTGACAATGTCATTTACCAAGCAGTTATTAAGATATTTCCAGAAAATTCTTTTGAAGTGGACTTTGATTATGGTAATACTGCAATACTGAACATGTCTAAAATTTATGAATTTAAGACAGATTTTTAAACTATTGCTCAGCTGGGAATCCATTCTTTTCTCAGTGGACTAAAATGGAATGAGCCTGCTGAAATATGGGATAGCAAAACTGTGGATTATTTTGCCTCAGTAGTAAGTAAAAAAAATAGTATCTGGTGAAGTTTTGAAAAAGCATCACCAGAAATGGGAAATTAGTATACTTTGCGATGAAAAGTGTGTCATCAGTGAACTACTTAAATGGGCAGTGTATTGGAAACCACAGAAGACAGTATTGCAAATGCCTTGGGTTGTCTCTCGAAAAGCGAGCTGTGATGAAGATAATGAAATGATAAAAGGAAGATCAAGTGAATGTGAAGACTGTGATCCTTCAACCCTCCTATCAAAAGCTAGTTAAAATTCCCTTTGAAGAGTTAAAACCTGGACAACTTGAAAAAAGCCGAAATACTTTGTGTTTCAAAGAGTGGAAGATTTTATGTGAAGTTATCAAAAAATAAAAAAATCTTATCAGATTTAATTGTATTACTAAAAAATAATATTGAAGAAGACAATGTTTGGCAAAATTTAGAAGAACTTTAAAGTGGTATTGATCAATAGTAGAAAAAAGTTTTGTTGATGAAAATGTGCTTTTTTTTTAGTAGATCATTGTAGGTATGAAACAGTGCCTTTAAATAATATCATGGTACTTTGTAATGCAATCAGAAATATTCCAAGACAAGCTGTGCCTTGTAAATGGATTTGGTTTGAAAATTCTAAGAGCATGGCATTTGAGTCCATTGTGTGTTTGCTCATTTGAAAGTAAGCATCCTTTTCCTGAAATATTTAGACTCTGCTTGGGAAGTAGACATTTTGGTAAATGGTATGCTACTTTTAGAATACTTCAGTCTAAACACACTTCAAGTTGAAGAAAACAAAATTCAGTCTTCAGGAACTGTTTTCAGTGTGGAATCTCGAACTCTTTTTGTCACCATATGGAATAAGATCATTTAGTTGGACCCAACTTCAAAATGGTGGGCAATATTGTGGTATTGCCACTGCTATTTCTGATCCATCAGACTTCTGTGTTCAGTTAGATTTCTTTGACACAGTGAAGTATCTTTTTATGTTGCTTTCTGATCTACCAGAAACCTTAAAAACATTACCTCAGGAGCTCATAATTCCCGGTTCTAGTTGTTTGTTCAAATGTGAAATGGAAGATTAATGGAATAGAGTGGAAATTTCTGAAATCTCTGATAGATATTTACTACTTATGTTGGTTGACTCTGAGTTTTCTGTTTATATACCTTATTCAAGTAGGAAAAATCTTAAAGTTGTTCCTGAGGAACTTTTGAATTTGCCAAGGTTAAGTTATCCATGTATCTTACAGGGTATTTTACCTGTTATAGGGAAATACTGGAATGAAGAAGTCAAAAGCTTTTTTAATGATTTTCTAAGCAAACCAGGCTTAGTTTTTCAGTTTAGGGAAGGTGGTTTTAAAACAAAACTGAAAGTAGATGTCATTCATGAGAAAAAGATTTTGGCAGATATACTAGTTGCATCTGAACTTGCAGTATATTGTAAGGATTCAGCCGATCTTGATGCAGTTATTGCTACTGGATCTACTAAAATCCAACGTATGTTACAGAGTAGGGCTGTTTGCCCATTGTTAAATCAAAATTGTGAAAAAAAGGAAAATATGAGTTGTACGTGCACCGAGAAACAAACGCTAAATAAAGGGAAACCTATAAAAAGGAAAGAAGTCTATAAACTCCTTTTAAAGAGAAGCCATGTTAGTAACAAATTGCATTGTAGAAATTAAAAACTGAAAAATAAAATTTGTAGTGGAAAACATAATACCCAAAGTACCACTACATTTGATACATGTGCAGCAGCTTCATATTGGGAACTGCTTGATTGCTTGAAAAATAACACCAATTGGTTTGAAGACATTTTTGAAAAACTGCCAACTGAAGGAATACAGGAAAATAACCCAGTGGACTCAACAGGAGTAGGAGTTATATGTTAATGCAAAAACGATATCAGAAAACTTAAAAGGTAAGCAGTCATTTTTCAATTTTTCTGTAGATTCTATTTTTGATGCTTTATGTGCTAAAATTATCCAAATCGAATATACCATATTGCAAGAAAACAAGAAATACTTTTAATAAGACCCATTTTTTTTTTTTTTTTGGGTACTCGGGATCGAACTCGGGTCCTTGCGTTTGCACAGCAGGCAGTGAAACCACTGAGCTAAATCCCCGGCCCATAAGACCCATATTTATAACACTCGTTTTTGTTTTTTAGTAGAGGGAGATGAAACTTCTGATCATTTATGCTTTAGTTTGGCAACAAAAGATACATTGGATACACAGTAATTACTACCTTGTTTTAGATGTTCCAGGTTAGAATAAAATTGGTAAGCATAGGACAGTAACTTCTAATATTAAACCATGTTAAAAGAATTAGATTTTTCAGATTATTTTCCCAGGAGATGATATATATTGAATATATTTTATTTGATAAGCTATTCTAGTTTGAAGCTGTGGATATTATTTTATCATTACTTTTTATTTTTTTCAGGTGTCTTTCCTACTAAAATTTGTTTCAGTCACTATTTGTAGAGTCATAATTGGAACCATGGTTGTTAATATAGTTTAATGCCACCTAACCATTTTCCCTAGAAAATATGAGTCATTATAGAAAGGATGTTTATTAAAAGTATATAAAGAGAGGTCAGATGTAATTACATCTTAAAGCCCATTCCATGGTATTTTTCTTCCTTTCTTTTTATACTTTTATATGTTTTGTTTGATTTTATATTTTTATTATTAGTTTTCTAAATTTTAATTTTTATTAACATGCATTAATTGTACATATTAATGAGGTTCAGTATATTTCCACACATCCAGCATCCAGCTCAAATTCAACCTCCCTTGATTCAACTTTTCCCCCACCACTCCTACACATTCTTCTCAGCATCTCATTGTCATTACCCTAAATCCGCTTTAACCACTTTTAGCTTGAAGTTGTGGATATTCATGATATTCAAGAACACTAGTATGTAGTTGGGAGGGGGGAAATACATATTTTGTCTTGCATTTACCTGTGCATTGGAACTTATTTTTCAAGTAAACATTTAGCAAGTTCAGAATATTGTTTTAATTCCAAAAATAAAACCGTGAAAATGTAAAAGTGCTTTTAAGAGTCAGCATAAACCAAATAGTTCTGTGTAACTGGTAATTTAAAAGATGTTTAGGAGAACTTAGAAAATTCTTAACCAAGAGAGGGTAAATCAATTGTATTATATTCTGCACATCTATATTAAATATTTTGGTGTTATGTTTTTGAAACTGGGAAATAATTTTCAGAAATGCTGTTTTTTTAATGAAGATATGTGAGTTTAAGTTTGGTATGTTTCAGCACTTTGGGAGGCTGAGGGAGAGTTCGAATTCGAGCCTTGTTTGGGCAACTTAGTGACTTTGTGAGACCCTGTCTCAAAATTTAAAAACATGTGGGGGATGTAGCTCAATGCAAAGACTGTAGGTTCAATCCCTAGTACCAGAAAAAACATTGGTGTCTTGGGTTTTAAAGTTTATGAATGTATTAGGGGCAGGGAGGGGGGCAGAGAAACCACCCATGGGAAGCTTTGTGCTAGCCACTTGGTTGTTTATTTAATGTTCAGGCCCAGTGAGCGGGCTGAATCTGAAAGGGAAGTCAGCATAGAGGAGGGGGAGAGCAAAGGCTTTTAAAGGGGAGTTGTTAGGCGTTGGTCTGGGTTAAGGAATCCGGAGGGAGAGATCGGATGGTCTGTGCTCCTCAGCTGGCTGATGGTACAGATGCTTCCTGAACTGAGGGTGGTGTAGCAGCTCTTCCCACCAGGTACAAGCTGCCAGTGCGCAAGGAGGGGTGGCTCACAGCTCCCCCAGGTCGATCTCTGCAATGTTTCTTCCCACTGGTGCCAAGCAGGTGGGTGATGACCACGCTATGTCATGTGCTTGGGCATGGCAATTCAAGACTCAAAACTTTGTATTTGTTTAACATTAACAACCCAGTCTCTGGTTTGTAGCTATTTTAGAACAGGGGATTTAACATTTATTCTCTGTAATCAAAACTCTGGATACTCTGTTGTTCTCTCTGGCATATTTGGAAGATTATTTCCTGTAATTATGAAGAGCACTTCCATTGGGAAACTAATTCACTTTATACAACTTCTGTGGCTGTTGCATCACAAAGGTGCTTTTATTACCATAGAATATAGCAAAGTTAATGATTTGGATTAACGGAAATGAATTTGATTATGTAATACCTCTTATATAAGATTATATAATAACTTTTCCCCTCCTCAGGTGAAAGTTGTAATTTAATCAGGAAATACCTCATGGGCCTTTAGTTTTTCAGAGTACTTTTTAATTTTATTATGTGTCTCGATAGTTTACATTTAGAAATGACAGACTTGAAAAACTAGAAAATTTATTGGTAATATTTAAGTATCGAAAATGATGTTTTTATAAAAATTCATTTCAGTTAATTCCTGATTTTTTCTATTTAGATAGAACTCCAATAAAGTATGTGAAGATATTTCTTTTAAAATGAGTTGTATTTTATTTAAAATTAACTCTTCTTATTTTGAAGGCACATTAATTTTTTAAATAAATTTGTTGTTTTATTACATTTTAAAATTACAACAAAGAAAATGTATAATAGTATGGCTTAATTCAGCATACTTTCAATTAAAAGCATTAGATTTTTTAGGATTTATAGTCTCAGGATAGTCAGTACTATAATAATGCATTATCTCACTTTAAAACACATTAATTTGTTAGTAGGATATGCTATTTTTTAAGTGTTGGACACAGATTTTTGCTTAAAAGTTTGGAGAGCAGAATATTTAAATTGTTAGGTAAAGTACTTCAAAGTTCAGAATTACTAAGTTGCTTTGGAAATTTCCTAATTTTGCTCTATATAAAGATATATTTTTAAACTCATATAAAAATGTCTTATCAGTATGAATAAAAAGTATGAGTCATTAGAGGAACAGTTATGACTTGATTTTTAAAAGAATATTCACACATTGTGCATTTTAAGCACTCTATTGATATGAAATAAAAATACATCTGAAACTGTTAAAACTAAATTATACAACAATTTCCTAGTGATCATTTTCATTCTGAATTCTTCTGTATGAGATGCTAAATTAGATTTTATTATTTAATTTTTCTGATTGATTTTTTGCTTTTTCATGTGTGTGTCTTGATAGCAGTATTTTTTCTAATATTTAAAAAGGATATTGAATTGTAATATTTTATTAGCCAGCTTTCCTATGGATGGGACAAAATACCCCAAAACCACAACTTAAATGATGAGTGCTTTATTTTGGCTCACAGTTTTAGTAGATTCATTTCATTGGCGGCTGTTTTCAAGGGAGAAACAACGTGGCAGAATCGCATGTCATAGGAGGAAGAAACTGCGGCACATGGTGGTAAGGAAGTAGAGACAGAAGTGGGGCTCTGGGGATGAGAACGCGTCCTTTCAAGTCACACCTCTAGTGATCTACCCTCTCTGACCAGGCACCGCCTCCAAATGTGAAAGTTTTGGGGGCATTGTAGCTGTAACCCATAGCATTCTTTGCTTTGGTCCCTAAAAGGCTCATGTTTATGTCATTATGCAAAATGCATTTAGTCCACCTCTAAGAGTTTGCCAGTGTTTTATGTCAGCAATCCTGAAAAGTCTTAAGCCCAGAGAATCCTCTGAGACTTAAGGTGAACTCATATTTGTGAGGGCTTGTAAAAATCAGAAAGTTACATACGTCTAACATACAACAGCACAGGGTAAACATTCCCATTCACAATGAGAGGGATGGGGACATAGAAGGGAATAAGACCAGAGCAAGACCCAAACCCAGCAGGGAAAACATTAAATCATATAGCTCCATCTCCAGCACACAGGGTGGATCGTGGTAAGATGTGCTTTCCAAAGGGCTTGAGCAGTCCTACCCCTATGATCTTCTGATTGCAGTCCACAATGGTCTCTCTCTTGGGCTGGTTTCACTCACTGCCTGGAGCTTTCCTCAGCAGATGTTCTAACTTCCTGGAGTCTCTGCTGTACCTTTGTCTTCACTCTAGTGGCTTCGTGCACTGCCCTCTCATCTGCTCTTGGTGGGAACTGCATCCCTGTCACATATTTTTTCCAGGGGTCTCATGTTTGTCAGGGTCTAGAGGCTGAAGAGGTGCCCTGTCAGGTGAAGTTCCCAAAGAAAAGAAAATGCATGGAGCAGACATCACAGAAAAACAAGAACAAAAATTTATTTTACTGCACAACCTATATAATAGTTGTTATCAGCTTATTTGGGCATGGTGAGACAAAACACTGGCAGAGCCTTTCAGAGCCTTGCAGAGCTATGTGGTGCATACATGGTTGCCTGATTCATTATTAGATAATAAACCTTTGTTGTGCACCTGTGCTAAATGACAGGGTTATGTCCTCAGACGCCTGGGCTTTGACACATCTGACAGCAGCCCCCTACAATGTTGCCTTCTGAAATCTGGGTGGAAGCTTCTGTGACCCTTTAACTTGCATTCTGTGTGCCTAAAATCCAAGTACCACATGGGTGATGCAAAGATCGGCTGCAAGCTTAAGCAGTATCTTGGCCCCCTTGAACGATGGCTGCAGGAGTCTCTAAGTACTGAACTTACAGATATTCTTCCCTAGGTGGCCCTGAATGAGCAGACATCCCTGGGCCTTCTTCTTAAATTTAAGTTTACAGTTGTGCACCCTTGAGTCTGCAGTGAGTTGGGGTCTTGCTGATTGCTCACATGCCCCCAAAGCATTGTTCCTCTTGTCCCTGTACAAAGTACTTGACTTATTTTTTAATGCTAATCTTTTAAGCATCCGTTGTCTTCTTAACCTCACCTTTATAGGTAATTTCTATCTGATGGAACTGTAAACTTTGCAAAACATTTAACTGTTTTCTTCTCATTCTCACCGTAGGTCTGGCTAGAAGCAGCCAGATATATCTGTGCTACAGCCTGAACATTGCATTGCTTTAAAATTTCCTCTAGCAGATTAATTAGTCCACCTTCTTTAAAGTCAGGTTAACACAGTCTCTGTGTATAGCATTCTAAGTCTTCCTAGAATCTCAAAACTTTTCCAAACTCCTCCTGTACAT